AAAATGCACAGATGTATGGTGGGAAAAACTGTAATTAACACTGAAACTACTAAAGGACTCCTTCAGCAAGTCCATCTTTTAGTGATAAAACTACTGTACTGGGCAAACTTGGCAGTCATAAACCCACAGCTATTATGACAAATCTCAAAGGTGGTGTTAAGTATAACAGTATGAGTAAGAATGCCCTTACACAGCACAGGTTCTAGATATACACAGATTTGTACAGACATCATTTATGTTATACTTTATGGAAAGAATTTCCATTTCAACTTCACATTAACTCATATAAAAATAACTTGAGCTACACAAATGTCCTTTTAGCAACATTCAACGTAATTAACTGTTAAAATTCCCAAAGTGGCAGAGGTATTGAAGCAAAAAGAAATCCACAAAAAGGCAAAAATTGTGACAAGTATGCACTAATTTAATAACAGCTTCTGAACAGTATCCTCTCCCAATTTAAATGACACTGTATAAAAATGCTGCAGAAAAATGTTACAAAACTGAACCCTGCACATTTACATTGGAGTCCAAACCATTCTGGACATGCCGAGAACCCGCAGTTCTGTTACCTTTCATGCTTACTGTTTTCTCCTCTTGAGGATCATGATTGGAGTCTGTGTCATTTGAATGGTGAGTGAGAGAGTTTTCACTGCCAGTGGGAGAGTCTACACTTTCATACCCAGTACTGAGTTGGTTTATGTAGCTACCACCTCCTCTACCAGTTCTATCTTCAGAGTGGTTGGACAGCTTATTACCATTCCCTGGAGAAGCCGGGAAGTCATCTTCTGTGCTGCTACCCTCCCTATAAAATCCAGGCCCAGACGTCCGCTGATGGGAGGAGCTACCATTGCTTGGTCCGTTAGCCAGACGGCTGCAGTCTTTACCCACAGCCTCTCCCTGGTCTGTAGGCTCAGAAGATGGAGTCCTGCTGGTACCTGGGTTGGAGACCTGGGACTGCTGCTGCTGGTACTGCGCCAACTGCTGGCGAGTCTCCTTCAACTGCTGCTGAAGCACTAGAATGGTACTCTGCATACCCTCTACCTCCTCATCAAGCTGGATGATGAAGTCATTCAATTCTAAATAAAGAAAACACACGTGTTGCAAATACTTAATAACCCACATATAGCTCACATGTCAGACAAGAAAATTTAAATCTTGTAGCAGTATCTTATGCTGAAGTTATTCAACCAGCTCGTTCAATCATTAGATATGCACACCATTTTGATACTCTGAAGGAAATGTTAAACTGCCAACTACACTTGTTATATTTATGACTTCGGATATACGAGAAGAAATTCATTTCTGGACAAGAAGATATATGGAAAGCAGCTCAATTCCAGTAATTACTATTTTGCAAGGAGATTCTAACATATCTACTTTTACTGAAGCGCAGGGAATTGCTGAAATACTCTAAGAGTGACCATAAAGCTTATCTGCATTTGATAGTTCTGAAAAAGTTCACAAAAATTTACTCAGTGACAAAAAAAATTTTAGTCACATTTCAAGGAAATGTCAGCTCTGACTGCTTTTGATACATTTAATCTCATGTAGCGTGACAAAGAAAAAGGGTAAACTTTTGTTGAATTTATAACCAACAGAAGTTGTTAATTCCACAAAGTACTTATGTACAAAGAAAAAAAAATCCTTTACAACTGGGACTGCATTTTGGCCCAGAAAGAATTTGACCTGAAAGATAAACGTTGCAGCCCAAATTCAACTGCACATTCACAGGACTAAGGAAATAACATGCAAACTGCCTACTGCTGTAAGAATCAAAATTAAATGCCCACTACTATGAAAAAAAAGCACTAGGAAAATGTCAGGATTATCATCGTCATTGTTCATATGAGGTAGAAGCCAGGGCCTAAGAACATCACAGTTCTGCAGCTTACTTTAGTATACTGCACCCGAGCAGAAATCTTTAAAGAATACAGGATATATTAGACAAATGCCAAAATATGCCCATGCTATCATCTTACAGATGCCAGGTATGAAACAAAGATGCCTGGATTTAATTAATTAGCTTGTCTCAAGATTAAGTGTAATAATCAGATCATCTATTGTGTCATCTGCCAAACTTCGAGTACTTTCATCAAGCACCTCAAAGAACACAATCTAGGCTGAACTCTCTGCTGAAGATTTTTAAAGTTTGCATTCCCCACCATTTAAAATATATAAGAGGCCAGAGATTACAGCTAATTCCAATTTAGGCTTACAATGCTGTAAAATTTGGACTACAAATACAATAACAGAACATTTTAATTAATCTGAGTTACTTAATCAAAAACTGCACTTTTGTTCTTCTTACACATTTTTTCCCCTTCAAGTAATTACAAAATGAGTCATTTAACAAGAAGCTTTCTGTTTTCAGTGCATGCTTACCTTAATATCCCATGTTAAATAGCAAGACCTACAAAGTCTAGTAGTTTCATGTTCAAATCTCGCATTACGGGGAGCTGCAAATCCCACAAGTACTCTGAAGTTTCTCTATTCTAGTTTTTGGTGGCTTTTTTTTTTCTTTTTTTTTTTTTCTTTTTTTTTTTTTTTTTTTTTTTTTTAAATTAAGACCACCAATAGAGACTTACAACAGTCACATTTTACTTGATGCTGCCCTTTAATTCTGGCAAAGATTCTACAGTATCCATATCATCAGAAAATTAAGCTAGCAGAAGTGCAAGGCAACTTCCATTTTCTTAATAAAATCCCTTACCATCCTGACTGCTTTTAAGTTCCTCACTATATTTCTTCTGTAAAGCCAACTCTGCCTCAAGCTGTGCAATACGTCCTTGGGACAGCTGCCTTCCAAGCTCTTGATTCTCCTGGATAAGCATTCGACACTTCGCCATTAACTTTTTGCCTGTTTGGCTGCAAAGGAAAGAACCAATCTATCACAAAGTGAATACAAAACCCTCTGCAATCTTCCTCAATCACAATTACAGACAAAAAGGAGATACAATTTCTGCATGTTGCAATTCACATAACATTATGTCTCAACATAATTGTCATAGCAGAAAATCTCCCTATATTACCACGTGCTGTTCCAGCGTCAGTTGATCTTCTGTCCGTGTCCCATAAAGCGGAAGGCAAGTTTTATTACTGTAAATGTGAACAAGCATTGCTCTTTTTCGATACCAAAATCTGGATTATCAGTCCGCACAATCTTGCATGTGCTAATTCTCAACTGAGTTAAGTGATTAAAGATGTGCCTTGCAATTTTAAAGATTAAACACTGCATTAAAAAAGTGTGTAAACTGAACTATCAACAGATTCTTCTTTTATCATACAAGTAAAACTAGGAACAAAGTTGGGGAAAAATATAAAAAAAAAATGAGCATTATGTTTAAAGCAACATCAGTTTTTTTTTTTTCTGAGAGGCTAAGACATTCCTCTGAATGTTTAGAAGAGTTGCATGTCTAGTTTTCAACTCAATCTGCAGTTGTACAGTGTAGAGCAGTGTACAGTGTTTCATGCTTCCCATACTCAGCTTTTGCTAAGCACATCTTACACAATGAAGAGAAAGTAAAATGCAGTTAAAAGTTGGCAGGAAATTAAAGAAGCCGTAACACTCATTTAGAATGACAGGTTCAGATCATAAATGTTTTAGAATATCCAGTTTCTTCGAGACATGGGCAGAAAAAGGTACTCTGAACTTTCAAGATATTCTCTGCTAAATTGGTAACATCACATCTTTAATCTTCACGAATAGAATTGTACTGTGAAGCATTATAGGAAGCAGTATGCAAATTAATATATAGGCAATACGGCTGACTCCGTAAAAGAGTTCAAGTCCTTCAAAACTGTCTGCCAAAATCAGAACAGTGATGACAATCAGTTCTTTCACAAGACTCAGCAACACAATGAATATCTCTTTCTACAGAAGCATAAGCTCTGTAGCAAAAAATATATAAAAAAAATAAAAAATATAAGCCATGAACAGGTTTGTTGTGAATTCAAGGGCAGGATTTGTACTACTTTCCAAGAGCAAGAAGGTCATTTAAGTTTTAAGTGATAAAGAAAGAAATTTTGAGGATTAAAAAAAAAGAATAGGAAACTTCCACTACTGTGATTCACAGCCATAGTTCTTTCTCTCCTGTAACCAATACAACCAACAAAAAAGAATTTAAAATAGTAATTTTCTTATCAACTACCTTTTAAACATTCAAGCCTTAAACAATTTTAAACTCTGCAAACTCTGCCTCACTGAACATTTTCCAACTGATTCTCCCAAATCTTTCAGATGGGCTGCTCCAGAAGGAATCTGGCTGCATAAAGTCCTGGAAGCCTGCAACTCTGCTAAAGGCAGCAACCTGTTTTCTTTCTTGATGTGATGTCCAATGTCGGGTCCTTGAAGCTTAAACTGTGTTGAGCTAATACAATCCATGTAACACAAGATGCAAGTTTTCTTAGAGATGTTCATTCAGTGCAAAGAAGGAGGACTGCTTTGGAGATGACCAATGTGATGTACCCCCAAAAGCTTTTAGGCAGATGTGTATTGATTTTTAGGCATTTGCAAATCCTTGTTACTGTATTCATCATTCACTGCAAGTTTAAGGAGTTCACAGTGCTGAAGTCATTACTGTTTTTTCTCTCCACAAAACAATGTCACCTGCAGAATTAGAAGTACCAGGTAGCTGGACATCGGGACAGTACTAAAAATCTCATTAATTCCTTCATGTAATTCCTGCCAAGATGTAAAATATTTATTACCTGTATAGAAATTTGCATAGTTACCTATAATGCTATTTCTTTCCATCAAGTTTTTTCCAGATGTTTTGAGTTAGCGTGGCACCAAGTAGCCTTCCCTTGCAATTTACACAGAAGACAACACATGCAAGAATATCAAATGCAGTAACTATAAAATGTAATTCCTAATAGCTTTAAAACTAAACTTGGCATTGTTTTCACAAATCCACTTGAACATACATGCAACAAAACCTGGAAGAATTAAGTGGTTAAGTTTCAGAAAACTAGTGTTTGTAGTATTAAGCTTCTTGCAATTGATATTACTGATTTTTAATTCAAATGTACATTGTATGCATAATGATGGTTCAAACAGCTTAACAAAGCCATCCCCTCAATTATATGCCCTTCTATTTCTCTCTCTAGGCATTAGTAAGGATTACACTGTGCACCTCTTATCTTTGGTTAAGGTCCAGAACTAATACTGCTTAATGTTGCAATCAACATATTACTTCAAGAACACACAAAGCTGGTGATGTGAATAGAAGCATCAGCTCTTTCAGATACTAGGTCAGATATCATGAAATAAGTGGTTGCGTACAAGGAAGGGCAATTAAAACCAAGAGGGGGAAGAAGGGCAAAGAATTAAAAATTCTATGAATGGTTTACATGATTAACCATTTCTTTGCCCTTTCAGAAATATTTCTTAAAAAATTATGAGCAGTTATGAAAATAGCTTCAATTCTATACCAGGAAATAAATCTAAATCTTCTCTACTCCAACTACTGCTTATTTAAGTATGCACATTCACACCACTGTGATTTAAAATTGGATGATGCACATTAAAGCACAACGTAGCTACAGAAGTGACAAAAATTTGATACTTTTGCTTGAAGGAAACTGGTAATAGTTACTGGTGTCTCATTTAAGAGTCTGAGAACTAGAGGAAACCAACCAACCTGTGCTTAACGGCATTTAAATCATTTCTGAACTCCACATAAAACAAGCAATCTACACGGCATGTCTCTATCAACACATAGTAAGCTTTACAAATGCCTTGGCAACACATTAACAGTTTATTAATGCAAGTCTTACCTCTGTTTTGATGCTAGATCATTAAAATCTTAGACTCTGCTATAGCAAAATAATCCCAGATGAATCACTTAAAAGTTTTTCTAGATGTTTTTCTTTGCTGTTAAATCATTACTCATGCAAAAAAATAAATCTGCATAAGTACACTAATCTTCAATCCCATATTAATCCATCTAAAGCACAGGTGATACTTTTAAGTTAAAAATATGTAACATTACCTTAGTTAAAATCATTGAAAGAGAATACATCACCTTCTGTGACAGCTGAATCTCTTTTTAACTTAAAACTGCATTTACTAGAATCAGACAGTCATAAAGTGTCACCCAATTGATTTGAAAAATCAAAAACTTACTGTACTAGAGCTCAGTTTGCCAAGATAAAAAATAAATATACAAATGCTGCATCAAATCTGCATTTCAGTTTACACACCTCAGATCTGCACTCCCAGCTGTCCCTTGTTGCTTGGGGACAACAGAACAGAGGCATCAATAGAGTAGCAAAGGTTCCTTCACTGATTCCACCAAGGAAAATGCATGCATTTAACTTCTTGTGCTTTGTTAATTATTTTTTTTTTTTTTAAATTCAGAGAACGAGACAATGCAGAAACAACAACCTGTTTGATTCTCGTTCATCCCAGGAGTTTCACAGTACAACAATATAACCAATAGTGTTCCTTGAACTATATATTACAACTATTTCAAGGCACATTTTATATAGAAGTGCAATACAAAAAAAACAGGTGTACAAAGGAATAAAAACACCCCACCAACACTGAAGACAGCTGTCATTGTGTGCCTTCCGCATAGAGCATTTGAGATCAGTTAATATAGAAGATCAAAAAAATCTCACTTCTGCATGAAAACATGCAGCGGAATACTTATCACAACTAGTTTTTCTTATACATGCTAGTTGTGATCAAATATATAGTGCTTCCGACAACTTTAAGCTTGCAATTAGATTGAATGTACGCTCTTGTACAGTCCTAATTTTGAGGCGTCCACAGCATTACCAACCATCCAGAACAGTTCATTATTTAGCAACATTGACTTAAGGCTCCGTCAGGTGTTACAGAGCCCGAATGCTTAACAGTCAAATGTGTACACTACCACTGACGTGATATCAAATAGCACTCTCGTGGCTATTCAAAAGTGGTTAGCAAGTAAACTCTTTAATGCAAAATTCACCTCATCGAGTTTTGACCCAGCAGTTCAGTGAACAAGCAGGAAGTCCACAGTCTTATTGGAAAACTGACTTAGTGTCTCTAAGTCACTAGGCTCAAGGTTAAGAGCGAAGCATATTCCACTTCTACATTTTACGGGAATTTTGCATGTTCAATTCATGATTTATAATCTCTAGGTTCTTTCCTCCAAACTGTCTGTAGACACAGTGTGCCACAGACTTAAGACTTCTGTTTTTCCCTCTATTTTCTTCAAATAGAACAATTTTGCAAATGTCTACGTGTTCTAGAAAATATTTTTTTTTCGGAGATGGCAATTTCTTCAGAATAGTCCGACGCCGTCAGGCCTCTGAAGCAAAGGGGGAGAAAAAAGCTGAAACACAAGGTTCATCTGGTAAGTTTTACATTAAGCATTACAAGCTGGACAGTATAAGAATGTGGCTTTTGCCTCAAAACGTCTGAGTCTTGGTGTGGAAACGAGTACTTGGCTGTCCCACCATAGCATTCTCGTAGTGGGACTGTCAGGGAAGTCTTGACTGGGGAGTATTTGTTTTGTTTACCTATCAGGCGTAAATTTCCAGGCACTCAGTTCATTTTGGGCTTGTTCCAGTTTGTCTTTAGTCTGTTCCAGTTCACCTTTCATTTTTAGGAAAAACAAGTTGATGGCTGGGTCCACCATTGTTGATCGCAGTTGGGCAACACTAGGCTGCTGGACTTGCTTGAGGTACTGAATCTGATTCTGCACAAAATAAGAAAAGAGATTTATTTATACATAATTCAATACGCTTATGATCACACAGATAGGATTAAAAATAGCCACTCCAAAGACGACATCAAGGAAACTTGCCTTCTTACAACGTTCTAACCTGTTAAGGACAGAATGAAAACAACTTCTGCCCACCTGTGTCCTTATCAATAAGCATATTCACCCAGTCTCCCAATCCCAATCCTGCCAAGGCCTTCAAAACTACTTTCAAGCTTGATCTTTTTCTTTTGTTTCAAGCTGTTTTCTATACACCAGTTAACATGTGCCTGATCTACTGGAACATTATAGTTCTCCCTTTACTTTTAAAACTGCTTGCATACTTCCAAGAAAAATATTTGTATGAAGAGCTGCCTGCTTAGAATGACTGACTTCCATACAACTTCAATTAAAGTTATTCTAGAACACATGGAGGTTACTGTTGGTAGTATCTTCACATATCTGCTGAAAGGTGTTTCTAAATACCTACGTGTTTTTGTGAGCATGGTAACTATGCAGCAAGTTGCCATCTTTTTCTTCTTGAAAAAAATCATTTAGAGCCACTCAAATCAATTAAGTTTAGACTGATTTGATCCTCTTGCAGTAAGCAAAACCCTAGAAACAGTCTTATATTTACACCTGGAATTCTTATAACAATTTATTTTAAATATAGTGCACTTATTGATCAAAACTTCACTGTACTTATATTGGATTAATATATTTTTTGAAAGTTTCTTAAATCTTCTTCCAGCTAGTAAGTAAAATTATTTTGGCCTGCAAAGAAACCATTCTTAAGTGCAATTTATGATGCTCCTCCTATTACACATTTCTTGGTCACCTAGAGGTACATTTACACACTGACTTTACAGATTGAACGAGAAACATTAATTCAAAGTCAGGGGTTTTGCCTTCTGCTGCACACAAATCTTCCAACCAGGTTGACAGCAGCAGTTAAAATGAACAGTACAAGCCATTACCAGCAAATCAAGGGGAAGAGTTAAGCTGCTCCCTACTCTTCGCTTTGCTTACAGCACAGCACAGTCAGTAGCAGTCAGTTTAACCACTTCCATGAAAAGCTTCCATGCAGCAACAGTGAAAAGAAAGTATAAAGATACTGTTCAACTCCTAAAAAACGTGTAGTAGTGACCTCAGAGTCACTTACTGATTTAGGAAGATGTTTAATTTATGTATAAATAGCACTGACATTTGGATTCTTTTTCATATATATGTAATTCTAAAGCCAGTGAAATGGATGAAATACTTCAAACTAACTTCATTTGATACAATCAATGTATATTTATCTACTCGAGAAAAAAAATATTTGAAATAAAATTGTTTTTAAAAAGTTTGATTAAATAGATAAATTTCTATGTATTCAGAAACAGAAAGGGAGTCAAAAAATACTTTCAAGAAATACGTAGTCAAGAACCCATTCATATAAACATTACTTATAAAAAGGAAGCCCAAATTCAGATTATCCTAATATTTCTTGTATAGATTGCATCCTCCCCCCCGAGATTTCACCTCACTGAATCTCACTGTATGCTCAAAGTCTTGCTCATTTATTAAGCTATTTAACTTACTGTTATCACAGAATCATAGAATGGCCTGGGTTGAAAAGGACCATAATGATCATCCAGTTTCAATCCCCCTGCTATGTCCAAGGTTGCCAACCACCAGACCAGGCTGCCCAGTGCCACATCCAGCCTAGCCTTGAATGCCCTCCAGGGATGGGGCATCCACAACCTACTTGGGCAACCTGTTCCAGTGCATCACCACCCTCTGTGTGAAAAACTTCCGCCTAATATCTAACCTAAACCTCCCTTGTTTCAGTTTAAAACCTTTCCCCTTTGTCCTATCACTATCTACCCTTGCAAACAGCCGTTCCCCTTCATGTTCCCCCTCCAATATGCTACCTTCAAGTATTGGAAGGTACCTGAGGTCCCTGTAGAGCCTTCTCTTATCCCAGCTAAAGAAGTCCAGTTCCTTCAACCTTTCTTTATAGGAGAGGTTCTCCAGCCCTCTGATCATTTAAGTGGCCCTATATATACCCACTAACATTTCTGATATTTCCGCTAATGTAAGTATATCAACAACCTGTCCTTCTGAGAGCCAGCACTAGCAGAAAGTGAAACCACTTTCTTAACAGAACTCTGCAGACAGTGACAAACCCCCAGCTGGCAACATTATCCCCACAGTAACATGGTTTGCAATCCATTTCTAGAAAGGCATCGCTGAGAAAAAAAATTTTCTTTGCCTTACCCTAGCTCCTCACCTCTTGTAATGCCTGATTCCCTGGATCACTAGTGTGAAAAACCTGCTGTCAGAACTGAAAAGCTCAATATGACCCGGATGATTCTGTCGAATGCGAACTATTCAAAGCACATAATTTGTTTACCTCTAGCTCACATGACTAGGCCAAACAGGAAGAGTTTGCGTGGGCTCAACATAGTGCCTCAATTGTCATTTCTGAAACAGCAGCACAGGAGAAATCTGCCTGAGCTGACCAACTCATCTATTCCTTCCCCAAACTTAAATTTATTCCTCCAGTTTTCTCTATACCTCCACAATTGTCGTCTTTAGTTATGTAACCCCAGAGTTCTGACTTTTCATCTACCCAGATCTAGCAACTCTTTCCAGATCATCATAGTTCCAAAACAAGCCCATACCTACTAATCCTGCCTACTTCCTTATTCCATTTACCTTCCCGCTTTGCCAAACCAAGTCTCCCATTCTTGCCCCCTTCAAACACTCCCCAGCATGCCTCTCTTCCTTTCTATATTCTTGAGCAAGAGGTGGAAAGGTTTGCCTGTATTCATGTCCAAAAGCTCAATTACAGGCTAGAGCTGAATGCACAGAAGTAGTCACGTCTACTCAAACACCTAAAAATACCTCTTGACTGTTCACATTCCTGAAGCACTGATAGTACTTCTGAAAAGTCTGTAAGGTGAACAAATAAGGATGAATTTTCACAAACAGAATCAATAACTACAGTATAATCTTGTTTGCTCAAACTCAAGGCAAGAAAATGCTGAAGTATTCCACTAAGCTACATGCATTTTAGTTGGGGTAGGCTCTTTTTTTTTTTTTTTTTCCAGTTAAGACTCTGCTTCTCACATTCTAGAGAACAGCTGAAGCCCCTCAGCAAGGCTGCCCGAAGACATCCACAAAGAACAGACACTCTGACATGAAGTACTTAAACAGAAATCAAGTGCTTGACAAGAAGCACAAGCCATCTGAGTAAGCATGAATATAAATACTTTGTGTACGGAAGAAGCAGAAAGAGGGAATGCGATAATGAAGAAAAAAATAACAAATTTGTAATCTAAAACACAAGAAAATTAATAATAACTACTTTCACAGTACTACAAATCCATCCACATCTACTAGTTTACGTTCATTACTGCTCTTTGTTTCACAAAAAGCTGTTGAGTAGCAAGCACTTCCTAATGCCTGTCTACTCCAGCAGCTATGCAGTATCTTAGGAGAGGATTAAAGCGTTTCCCTGAAGTAACAATCACCATCTCTGCTAAAAGTAAAGCTCTATGCAGGGACAGCAGTCAATACCTGACCTGTCCTTTCCTACCTACTATAAGCAGCCTTTTTTTTTTTTTTTTAAAGGGGTGGGAGGTGGGTAAAAAAGAGTGGCTGTGAACGATGGGATATTTGAAATATCAAATCCATAAACCACAAAGCAGTCCTTTAAGCAGTCAATCTGAACTACACAAAGTAGGTTTGCAACACCAGACTCTGTAAGCTCCTACCTCAAAAGAAATCCATATACTCTGCAACCGAACAGGGAACAGAGCAAAACAGAGAAAGGAAGTATGCACTCAACTACCATCACGCTCCTTTAATACCACAATCATAACAATTATTATTATAATCAAGTATTGCTTCTCTGACACACGTGCCCGCAAAGCTTCGCAAACACTGGTGACTTTTATAAGCTGATGAGATTTTGCTGTGTTTTGTCACTAATGAAAAAAGGGTAAAAATTAAAAAGAGAACCAAGACAGAGTCTATCACATCCTATTTAAAACAGGACCAGTGAATTTTAAGTGGCAAAATGTTTACACCTTGGTAATCAGCAAAGTCACATCTGTAAACTACTACTTTTGAATACGGTACAGTACAGTATTTTAAATTTTCTCCATTTAAATTTGCAAGACTCAAATGTGCTAAGTTTGTGCAAATAAAGGCTATCCCACCAAATACGTTAAGAATAATATGGTCACCAGGTATTATACAGCAAATAATTACCTGCAATTTTTAAGAAACCTGACAACACAGACACTGAAGATGTGACAGAAAAGGTTTGCATACAAATAATTCAGTGCCACAGGAATATTCTGCATATATATGAATCTTAAGACAGTTAACCGCTACAAATGAAGGAAGTTACTTTATGGATATGTTACTTGACACATTCATTTATGATACGGTGACTAGTTTTTGTCCATCTATTAAATGAGTTAGCAACTTACAGCTTAGCTTTACAGCTGACATTTAACAATTTATTTTGCTACTATCACTTTACAGGGAAAACATCAGATAACATAAGCCAAGAAATCTTCCAATGCTTCTTTGAACTATATGCATGTTCACCTCAGGCTATATTAGGCGGAACACTGCCAGCAGGTTGAAGGAGGCCGTTCTTTCTCTCTACTCAGCACTGGTGAGACAATTGGAGCACTGTCAGTTCTGGGCTTCCCAGTAAGAGACATTGGGCATACTAGGGTGAAGCCAATGAAGGGTTATATAAAGGACAAAACGAAGAGCTCGAAGCATCTGACACACAAGCAGAGGCTGAGAGCTGGGACTGTTCAGCCTGGAGGAAAAAAAAGGGCTGAGGGGGGATCTTACCAATGTGCATAAATACCTGGTGGGGGGAGTAAAGAAGGCGAAGCCAGGCTCTTCTCATTGATGCCCACTGAAAGGACAGAAGGCAATGGGCACAAAATGAAATACAAGAAATTCCATTTAAACTATAAGAAAATGCTTTGCACAGGGTGTCCAGAAAGATTGTAGAGTCTCCGTTCCAGAAGGCACTGAAAATCTGACTTAGCTCTTAGTAACCTGCTCCAGCTGACCCTGCTCTAAGTAGGTAGATTGGACTAGACAATCTCCACAAGTGCCCTTCAATTCCATTGATATATTTATTAACCACTGCAAAATAATTTTTACTCTGTTGTTTTCCGTACAAATACTCAGTACAGACTAATGTCTGTCATCTTACAGTCTTAGGATAGTAAAGCATACAGGGCTAAATCTTACACTAATTGCAATACCTGACAGCTCAGGACTCCTACAGGAAAAAAAGAAAGGAAGGATAAAAAGAAGGAAAAAAAAAAGTGACAAAACTAGTTACTGGTTTTTCAGAGAGCTTATATTCTGCCTAAAAGAAGCTCTCAGTATGTTACAAAAACTACCATTAAGAAGCTTTTTACAATCCTCTCTCAGGAACCGCCAGTTAAAGAAGCAGATGCAAATGAAGTTAAGATAATCCAAAACCATGAGAAGTCCCAAACTGGCAAAAGGTTGTTTCAAGAAGCCAAAACAAAACACAGAAGACCAACAGAAATACAGGAGAGAGAAAATAGAACAACAGCAACAACAAAGGCATCAGTACAAAGAACATTAGAAATCCAAGAAGCAGGTCTGATACATTTCAAAAGCACTCTCTAACCAGCCAAATGGATGCAGAAGACAGTTATCCGAATACAACATAAACTTCAGCATGAAAAATTCTAAATAAAATCCAATATGCTGAATCTTATCCTCAGGTTTCAATTTCTTCCTGCATTCAAAGAGTCATAAGTAACATTTATGGTCAATATGTACAGTGAGCACTGCAATGCTCTTCCAAGCAGAACTGCTGCTGAAAATCAATCAAAATAACCAATCTTTAAACAAACAAAAACAACACGAAACACTTCACAGAATGTTAGTTACTAACTTAGTGAAAGCTTAAGTACCCTGTCTTTTTTTAATTACAGAAACTATAATGCTACAGATACATGAAACACATAGCATAAGTACTCTCCATTAACTCCTGGAACAGCCTAAAACACCTATTTCTAAATACTTACAGTACACTCTTGCATCTCCTGTTCTTTAGTTGCCAGCCTCATGACCAGAATATTTTCTCTTCGGGCAGATTCTTGCTGTTGCTGTTTCAGTTTCTCTTCAGATTCTCTCAATCCCGTCACATCATTAGCTGATAAAATTAATACAACAAAAAGCACAGGTTTTAAAGCATCCTTTCCCAAACACTCTTCCAAGACAGCTTGAAAAAAAAAAAAAAAAAAAAAAAAAAAAAAGCTGACAGTCAAATTCATTGGCAGCAAAAGAGTTAAATTAACCACAACTATAAGCATGAGTAACAAAGAGCTCAAAGTATCGTTAAGTGCTTGAAAAAGCTTGACAAGTTCTATTTTAAATACAGCTATCCTTCCTTACTACTAAATTTGGAAGTGCTCCCATGCTTTATACAGGAATAAAATTTTGATTAATTAAACAATTGCTCCATCCTTCACCACTATTGCTTGCACCGTGAAACTGGGGAAGCTGAAACTCTCCTGACATTTGTAACAAATTCCACGTCTTAAGTGGTGTCACGTGTGATCAGTTCTCAAAGTGATTTCAACACTTTAAGTGTGACAGTAAGTCAGTGGAGAACCTCAGACATGACAGATCAGACACAAGGATGTCTTCTGATCCATTAAGATTCATAAAAATTAATATACAAAATATGGAAGAAAGCCACAGTTCCAAGTTATCCAAAAACTGGAACATGTGCAAGCAGCCTGATACAAACAGAATACATTTACCCTGCTACCTTCAAATATATAATGATTGAAAGCTGGAATAATTAAGGTCGCAGGTTTTTCAAATGTTTTTCTTTTTTTTTTTTGTAGACAAGTACTAGACCTGCTTTAAGTATAAACATCACAACTTGCTTCAGAACTGTTATTTCTAATTTGCTGTTGTTGCATATATGGCAATAGATGAGATGTAACAACAGAGTTAAGAGGGAACATCCGTGGACTGACAAGAAATCCCTTCAAAATTACTGCTTCCAAGATTTTGGGTATTGAGGCTGATAAGGTGAACAGAAAACTTAGGAAGAGGCCCAAGCTGCTCACATAACTTTTCAAAACTGACTTCAGACTTGGTAAATCAGACACTTCCCAAAGGCATTTAGACCTTCTCAATTGAGAGTAAGATGAAATTATCCAGTAGTCTCACTTTCAAAAGACTGAAGTACAGCCCAAAGTTTAAAGATTACATAACATTGACATTCAAATTGTTAATTCAAATTACCCAGTCAGATAAAGAATCAGCAGGATATTCATTTTAGATCTTTAGAAACTGTTCTCCCTCCCATGTGATTTACAATTGTGTAAGATTACAGAAAGCACAAACATTCACAGTATTTTGATAGAGGAAAACTTTCCACCACTGCAAGAATTCTGAAAATAGAGGTAATTGTGGGGTTGTGCTTTCGCCTAACAGTTCATGTACTGATGGTCCACAAATGCAAAAACAGAATTCTGAGAAGTCATTTCAGATTGGCAAAGAAAAAGAAGTTGCTTCAAAAACTGGGAAAGTCTGAAAACTCCTACTGGGAAAAACAAGGACTCTGCTTAGAAAAAAATAATAATATGACATTGCACTTATTATGAATATTTATTATTTTTAACACTAACACGACATTGTTTGACCACTCTGCTTTACACAAACATTTAAAACATTGAGGCAACTCACACAATTTTGAAACTTTGCTAACTTACAATTAAGGTCTGTGTACTTGCCCTCCAAAGCTTGCACGTACGCTTCATACTGTTTCCACCTATTGCAGAAAGAAAAATATTTATTTATTAAAATCAAAGCATCTAATTCCTGAACTTTTAGCTTATATGTTTACTATAAAAATCAGAAAACATCAAGAGATAATCACGCAATAAAAGACAGTTCTTTGTTTTCACTCAAAATTTACCTCTTAAAAACTACTTCTAACATTTTTGACAAACACTAGAATCAAATCAGACTTATTACTTAGTTATCTGTGCTAAGTACCCAAGAAGCCTCTCACTGTCAAAGCGGAATCAGGCAAACAGAACTCTGTAACAGAAGTTGTAACACAAGGGTAATACACATCTGTTAGCAAGTGAACAGCAGAGCAAGTAGAATGATCTACCAGTGGTACACTACAGCCTGCAGTCCAGGTTAAGCAGTTATTACAGCTCATTTAAAGCAAGACCATACTGGTCGTATTTACTGAACAGCCAACCAATTAAATGACTCTTTGAAGTTATGCTGTTAATGTGATGCATCCGGATTCAGAAAACTTCACACTGAGAAACAGCATTGCATTTGATAGAAATCATCAATAGCAAATAAAGTCTACAGTAAAGTTTACCATGACTCATCAACAAGCATGGTGCACTGCTGCTTTTTGTTGTTGCTGCTTTTGTTTTGGTCCTTTCTGTTTGGCTGTTGCCATTGGGTTCGTTTAGGTTGCGGTTTTTTGTTTGTTTAATTTAGGGGGGCAAGCACAGGAGTACTACTGACTGCATGTCTTTTTCACATCATTACCATTCCACAAGGTTAAATAAGCTCACCTAACAAACATTACCACTAGAGAAATGGACAGTTTCTCTTCCCTCCCTCCCAATTTGCCCTTTTCCTCCCCACCATTTTATGCCAGACCCATCATAACTACTTCCCAACCTACAATATTCTTACCTCTAAACTATAAGATCTGAATGGTTTCATAAACAAGCAGTCTATAAATGGCCTGTGAAGCACCTGATCTATATCAGCATGTGATATCATCACATCACTGAGCAACACAAAAGCATGCAGAAGATTCCTTCTAGCAGTAAATATATATATGTATCTTTAGGTGAATCAGCAATGAGCACATTTAAGATCTGCAGGAGAGTAGCAGCACTCCCACCAAACCCTTAAACTTATTGTTTTAGCTGCTTTTAAAAAAACACCTCTGGTTACAAACAAAGGTTTCATAGTTTGACCACTGGAAGTACAGCATTCAGTCAGAATGACAGCCCTCAAAAAGGGAAACTGAAATAGTCTACTAAATAGCAAATACAGAAAAAACCTGTATTTTGCATGAATCGATTACATGAAAGAATAAAAAAGCAAGTCTTTAAATGCAGCATTACTTGGCAGAGTTCTCTCACAGCCTGAAAACAACAGCTCTGTCAAAACTGAGATCTGTTGATCAGTAACAGGAGCTATACAAAGTGAGCAAAACAAAGCCCTGAAACACAAGACAGGCAGATGTAACAGACTACCATCAGAAAGAAAACACACGGCTTGTGGTCACCACACAAGTCAGAGCTACCATCTCTAGATCACCTCTCAGTAAGTCCCAGCATTTAAGCAAGAACTCAATTCCTGGAAAAGAACAGAGACTGTATTAGAACATGTCATGGACTTTCCAAGTCGCGTGACTCCCAGCTCCTCCAGAAAAATGACCTTCAAGACAAAATGACCTATGCTCTGTCAGAACAGACAAAACCTGGCAAATATTGCAGCAGTTCCTCTGAAAGTATGTTTAAGAAACTGTACAGAATAAACCTGTGATCACCTCACTGACAGAGAAAACTCCGGCAATCAAGTTCAAAAATCAGAGGCTTTCTACTAAAGCAGCTTCAATGTTGTACATGAACACGGTCTCAGTAATTCTGGTACAACTACAGATCTCAATCTCTGTTCCAGGGATGAAACTTTTACCTCCCTTCGGGCAAACCAAAAAGCTAGCAATTACAAAGGCAAAAATCCAAAGCAGGTTCATTTCATACAATCAGACCTCTTTTAAACCATTAAAACAACCTACTAAGCTAACAGCATCCAAACAGAAAATGAAATAACAGAAGTTTAAAATTATCAGCATGAAACAAAGCAGTTCATTGGCCCACCCTTTTCAACTCAATTTGCAGTTGCAGCTCTTTAACTACAAAAATACCTGACACGTCGCAGTAATTATCAAGATTTTTTCTTAAAGTCAAAACATTTACAGACCGTATCAACAAAACATTTTGAGAACATTTCTGAAGCCAACCTGAAGGAAGAAACAGCGCTGAGCTTAAGCCATTCCAAAACTGACAGGCTGTGTGACACACTGAGTAGAAGTCAGTGAAGGCACTGTATTTCACCCACCGCTTGAGTAAATACAGGCACTTCAGCATACTGACCACTAAGCTGAACAGCCCAGGGAATTCAGATAAGAAGTTTTTTTAAAGCTACCATCTACAGAGTGCTTTGCTATCATGTTCCTGGCTCTTCCTCGTTCACAGACTGACAGGAGCTATCCTACTGCAGAGGAGGAGAAGATGAACAGGTGATACCACAGCTGCAACAAGACAAGGAAATGCCCCACAGGCCAGACAAATCCTGTTGCTCCTGCTCACTTTCAGTCAGTGGGAGCAACAGCAAACCTCAAGTACAAGCTTTGTGGAAAATATTAGTGAAGATTCAACACAACACAGAGGAAGTGACAGAAAGCATTAGTATTTTCCACACATGCATTTTAGCAGCTTAACTCGCACAGAGATAACACATCAGCTATAAGAACAAACCATAGATGACACACCATTATTTTAAAAGCATATGCCCCATATCAGCGTGGGGGAAAAACCCACAAACACTCTCCATCTTATTTTAAGATGATGTGGTAGGGGTCAGCACATTTTTCTATGCCTGAAAGCAGTGGAGATGCCTTTAATTAAAATGATACTTGCATAATGGCATAACATTTTATTCCAACTTACAAATGAAGTTAGCAGTAAGTGCAGTAATTGCCAGCTTCATATGAAGCCATGAACAAAATCAAGATTAGTGTAAATCCTTTACATACATAGATGAAATTTTGAAGAGTGTTTGCAGAACTGCTGAACGCAAACAAAATGGACATGGCCAGTATGGCACCAAATAAGGACAGTTACTCTCCTTAAAGCAATAAGGCCTTTCTGAGTACAGAAGTTGCTTCATTCACATTAAGAGGAAGACAATAACAACACAGCTGTCATCAGTCCATTGCCTTCTGTCTCTTCACCAACTCAGTTTATCTGCTGACACACTTCAGCTCCTTGGGCAGATTCCACTGTATTCTCCTTTTAATAAACAGGTATCAACTTCTAAGGCAAAAAGCAATCAAGAACATCCCCAGAGATATTCTTGAGTATGAAAATTTCTGTTAGAGATTCCCAAGAACTAAACCACCCAAAAGCAGCATTTTTCTGTGTATACACCTTCCTCTTCACTCCAAAAGAATAGGTATTGAGGAGATGAAGCCAGAGACCAGTTTGAAACATACGAAGGATGATGCTGATCCCCAATGGAATAAATGTCACTCCAGCAGTGGCTAGCAGAGGTAGTACCAGCTGCGTTGGACCCGTGTTCTTACATTCCTACACAATTTAGTCCTTTAAACTCACCTGTGAAATGCTAACATTTAACCACCTCAATGCAAATAACTCACAATGCACAAAAAGTCAAGAGCTAAAGCTTTTCAAAATGTACAAACTACTCTACCAGATAAATAAATGACCCACAGATTCATTTAGTCCCTTGTTTATCAATCAGAAAATTCAGATACACAGGCTCTATATACCTGTGCCTTGGTCTGTTTCTTTAACCAAGTGGTCTGTGTGACAGAATCATTGATGTGTTTTCCATGGCAACCCTTAATTTTCTGTAAGGTGAAAAACATAACCGGGCTTTTCTATATGCAAGTTTTGAGTGCTATCAGTAAAATTTGACATTTTACTGTTAATACCTGAATGTGCTGAGAAGACAACTGTGTGGACTAGGAGAGTCCTGCAGCAGTAAGTAGTTTACTTTTTGTGATGTTTAAAAATAACTTGCTATCTAGCAAGGAATGTATGCAACCTTGACTTCTAAAGCTGCAAGTGAAGAAAAAACAACTCCTACTTATGGATTAGAAAACACTTTCCAGGACTCTGAGGGGAAACACTTTTTCCTGAAGGACACAAACTACATATAAAAATATTTCCAGTATGAAAGCATTAAAAAAAGACGCACTGTGAAAATGCTATAGGTTTTCAGAACAAGAGTGCTAAAAAGCAAGAGAAGGGTACATTACATCTTCTGTAAAGAATTCAATAAAGTGTTGCCATAGGAAAGGAACAAAACTGATGCTTTACCTTAGGATAAGTTCATCTCTAGGCAAAACTTTAAAATCTGCTTCACTAAGACGAACCTGTGGAGCAAAAGGAGAAGCACAACTTACCAAGTTATCATGACTATCTGGGGCGGGGGGAGCAGGGGGGCCACAAATATTTTTAAACATACCTTCTTTGGGAGAGGTTCTTCATTCGTCATTGTGAACTCTGAAGGGGGGAGAAGGAGTGTTAGTTTAGTTACTATTGCGTATGAAATAGTCATTAGACACCTGTACTTCTGCTCTTCATTTCTCTATTCCTGATACTAAATTACTGACATGTTGGCTCCATACAACATATAGCCAGATTACAACTATGACAAGTTTACTGTTGTCATCGAGATAAAAAGTCAGTGGACTACTTCCTAGAAGTGAGCCAAAGCTTTCTTTAGCATCTAAAAATGCTACTAGCAATACTTTTCAACTTCACTAAGAACAAAACATCAGACTTTATCAATTTAAATAAAAATTTAAAGGCAAAGTGACATTTCTTGTATGTCCAAAACTATTCAATGCAATGTTTCCCAAGGAAGGGGATAACATCAACTACAAAAGCAATTAATACTACTACTTCAGTACCATTTTAGAATAAAGCAAATGATTTGGGAACATTATCTGTAAAGTTTGGGTTACATTATGTGCTTTCAACTCTTACACTACCTTTAAGATAGTGATAAATAAATATTAAGCAGTTACTTAAAAGCCCTCAGTTATTTTTAGGGAAGGTAGCATGTCAGTTAATGGCTTGCGTACACTATCAAATTTAATTTGCCTTGTGTGTTTGTACCACAATTGGATTGTATTTGTGCTAAGTTAAATATTCACACTTCCTTGAGTTACTGCACATGCTTCCTCACCTGCAAACAGATTTTTTTTTTAACGAGTAATAACATTAAAAACCAAGCCCACAAAAACTCTCAAACGTACAGCATTAAAGCATATTTAACAAGGAAGTTGAACTTCTTTAAAGGCATGCATCTTTGCAATGTGCCTTCCAATAGAAAGCTGCAAATAGCATTGAGATTGGACAGGTTTGTAAAGCTGCTGCTACTCATATATACTAGAAAAAGTACACGGCCAATTCCTTGGTCACGAGCACAACTTCATGAAAACAATGCACTTCAATTCAAAAAACTGTTCTCAAAAAGACTCACACAAAGCATATTCACAAAGTATATTCACAAAGGCACCCAGTGAACTAATTTAACTTCTACAAATCCTAAGAGAGCCATTACCATCAATAACACAAAGACATGCCACATGAAGCACCATCACTTCACCTTACACAAACCTACTAACCACTGATAAATATACAGAACTCCCTTCAAATAAAATTTAAAAAAAAAAAACACAACAAAAACAGTCTCCTTAAGACAGCAAGCAGAGCACACAGAAGAAACAGATTCTAAGCCCTTCATAAAATAGAAACTGACATCAGAATCCATGGGAATGGCTCTAAAAACATGCAGAAGAAGCATCTCACTGACGAATGGCAGCTTCCTGTTCCTAGCCTTCATGACAGGCATTGAAGCACTTCCCCAAGATAGAAAGGCCTCTCCTCCCCACTCCCCAGTGCTTTAACTTCTGGCACAGCTCCTGCTTCACTTAATGCGTACCTTGAATATATTCAAGAGGCTGAATATGAACTCAATGGTGCTCAACTCACTCATTCAATCCAATACAGAGTAACTTAGAATTGGAAGAAGAATGCCAGTGACCCCTGTATTTAAGTCGCCTACTACTTCAATTGCAATTTTCCTAAAAACGTTTAGGAATCTTTCACTGCTTCTGTATTTGGAAGTACCAGCCTTGAAAACATGAGCACCATTCAAGTGCATCCTTTACAGAAAGGGTTGTTAAGCACTGGAATAAGTTCTCCAGGGGGGTGGTTGAGTTGCCATCCCTGGATGTGTTTAAAAACTATTTGAATGTGGTACTCAAGGACACGATTTAACAGAAGATTGCTAGGCAGTATGGTTAGGTCATGGTTGGACTTGATGATCACTAAAGCCTTCCCATCTGAGCAATTCTGTAATTCTGAGCCCTTGTCAGAGAGAAGCACCATTTCCTATGTTCAAGAAAGCTACAACTACAACTAGCACCAATTAAATCATGCGCAGACGATGCAATTATTTAATTGCATGTTCCTCCAAAAAGTAACAGAAGCATGCAAATGCCAAAAAAAAAGCTGAGTTTGCCCAAATACTTGGCTCATGAATGCTCAGGAGCATGTAACTTACAAACACTTGAGTGCTGCAACAAGTGTGGAGAAAATGTAAGTTTGATGTTCTGTCTAAGCCTGGGCTACCTTGCATGTCCAGGGTAAGCACAAGATCCCAATACTCAGCTCTCTACATCAGCAGCACACCTCTACTCCAATATTTACAACAAAACTATCTCTTGCCACCTATTGAAGATCCTTCAGCAACAGTGAGGAAGCTGGATGTTACAGGCCACTGCATTACAGAAGGTAGTTTTACTATCACATGTTATCATTTGCAGTGATAGATATAAAAATACCACCACAAAAAAGTTTACTAACAGCATTCAACAAGTTATCTCGGAAAACGTAGGCTGACTACATATACAGATAGATAACAGTGCTCTTCCTGCATGTGTGAATTTCAACCCCCAATTCCCATGTAAACTTGGGGATCTAAAGTGACTCGAAAAAGAGATCAGGAATTTATTTTTGGCATAGACTGAACCTGTACCATCAGTCCCAGTGTTTTCCAGAAGCACTATGAGCATCAGGCTGATTATAACACTCAGTTGTCACAGCAATTTATCTTATCTTTCTTAGACATACATTTATGCACTACTGTCAGTAACATGACAGCTGAAACTTTCACTCTAAACTCAACTCAGTGGCTTTCCAAGTGCTGCACAGTAAGGCACTCTTCATCGCTCACCTGCCCTCTGAAAAAGAGCTGATCTCTGCCACACAGTTCTGAAATGTTTTTCAAGAACACAGTAAGTGTAATTTTCTATAATGAAAAAAAACAATGAAAACAACGTTTCCATATAACCTTCTTTTAAAGTTCATTTACATGATGAACAGCTTAACCACAGTATCCCAGCTAAGCACTTCCACAATTGTTTGGGCAATGTCAGCTGTTACATCTCATTCTCTCTGCATCTTCTCAATATAAAGTTACACCCTGTACTTAATGAGAACATGGCCACCGACAGAGGCTTTATAGGATTTCATCAGGGTTTTTATGGAAGTTTAAACACAAGAAGCCCAAAATGGAGAAAGCACACCTTGCTTTTGGAAGCCCTGGTAGCTTGCACAGCTTTTACTGAAAACTTTTATCAGTTGAGGATTTAGACAGGAAAAAGAAGTCAAAAAGCTAACTAGTTAAGCATCAGATGCGAGCAAGCTGCTGCTTTCCTAATTACACTTCAAGTAACTGCCAGTTACTTTAATGATATGTAAATGAATGCTGTGGGGAAACCCCTGCGAAGCTTCTGGGCTTCCGCGAGAAGGGGGGTGGGGAAAAAAAGCATCCCCCCTACACAACCCCACACACACGCACTTACGTACGCTTCACGCTCTGCCGCGGGATGATTTCACACCGCCTCGGCGCCCGCCCCTCCCCTCCCCACGGCCAAGCCCCGCCTCCTGCGCGGAGCCCCGCGGCCCAGGCCCGCCGCAGCCGCAGACCCCGCTGCGGTCCTGCCCGCCCCCTCCCGCCTTCCCCGAGGCGGACGGCGCCGGGGCGCGGCGCTGCCGAGGGCGGGGTAGGAGGCTCCCCGCGGGGCGCCGGCCCTCGCACAAAATGGCTCTGCGCGCTTCCGCTCCCGTGCCGCCCGAGATGAGGGGCAGACCGCCGGGTGCCCGCCGTTCGCCGGACCCCGCCGCCGGACGCGGCGAGCGGCCCTCGCTCGTCCACTTACCTCCCGCCGGCGGTGCGGAGGCCCGCTCTCTCGGCAGCGCGCTCGATTGCCTGGGCCGCACCCGTCACATGGAGGGCCGAACGCCGCCGCCCGCGCCCGCAGCCGTGCCCTGCCGCTCCGCAGCCGGGGTCGCCGCCGCGTCCCCCCCAGCCACCGCGTCCCCGCGCGCCGCTCCCGCCCGCTCTTTATTTGCGGATTCTCTGCGCTACAAAATGGCGCCCAAGGAGGAAATGAGCGTCCGGCCGCCCCGCCCAGCGCCCGCCCCACGCCACAGGGCGGCGGCTGCGCGCGCAACCCGCGCGGCGCGGCGGGAGCCACCGCAGTGACGGCTACAGCAACGCCGCCCACGTCGGCGACACGGCCCCTTGCGGGTCCGACCCGAGTGCTGTAGGGGCTCCTCTAGGAACTCGCCTCTCTCGTAGAAGGCGGTGGCGGGCTGGGCTCGCTGTGTTGCTGCAGCCGTTGCCTTGGTTGTCGAAACGTGGGTTTAAAAGCTGTCAGTTAAACGGGCGGAGGGGTGGGGCGCGCGGGGCATCATGGGGCGGGCGGAAGGATACCGCGGGCTGGAGGGTCGCCCTGTGAGGGCGCTGCGCCTTCACGTGCCGCCTTACCGGTTCTGAGCTGCCGTGCTCCATCGGACGCCTGGCGGGATGAGCGCTGCGCGCTGCGAGCTCGGGATTCTCTCCCGCTGCCAGGTCTGGGAGGGAAAGCTTTCGCTGGTTGTGCTCGTTAGCGTCACAGAATCATAGAACTGCAAGGGCTGGAAGGGGCTTCTGGAAGTCGTCAGTCCCCCGCTAAAGCGGGTTCTGTGCGCCTCGCTGACTGCCTGCTGAAGGTGTGATAGAAATCCAGCCTCGTGGCTGTGCTCATGGTAGCAAAACGTTGTAGGAGGAATTCCAGCATACGTACTCCCTACGTCTGTATTTGTATAGGGAAACAAATGCTTCTAAGTTAGCAACCAAAAGATCCTGAAGGCCAAGGCATGCATACAGAAATTTTGTGTGCTTACACGAAGCAAGTTTGGTGTGAATGTTGACGCCAGCAGCAGAAGGCTTGAGTTTTTCTAAAGCCTAATCTTAGTTCTCAACTAGAAAACAGGGACTGTGATTGCTTTGGGATTTCCTGCCCCACTTCCTCCAGAAATCCTTTGCAGGTGTTTGCTTTAAATGCTGAAGATGAACAGATGAAGCGGTCACAGGTGTTAAATACTGGAACAGGCCTTAACTATGGACCTTAACCAAACTGACCCAATTTCTTCATGCACAAATTTAAACACTACAATGCTAACAATGCATGTAATGCATTTTGGGGCTTTGTTTCATGCTCCTGTTATAAGCATGCTAATAGTCACGCCAAGTTGTGTTCACAGTAGCTGCAGTAGCTTTTTCCTTGTTTCCTAGGTACTGTGGTAACTCCCAGCAGCACTGCTAGTCCTAACGTAAGCAAGCATACAAAGCTCTGCAAACAGCAGTGAAAAAGTAACGTTTGGACAGCACAACAGCAATGTTAATATTCTACATATGATTTTATAACTCTACTGTCTGTGGAGCTGATTTAATGCTTGACTGCAATACTTGTGATACCAATGCACACCTGTGAGTTGCTGGATGCAATACAGTGGTCAGGAATATATTCACCTGTAAGTTGCAGAGGGTTTCCTCAAGACATCATCTAAACAGCAATCAATCAATTAAGCTACAGTTACCGCCAAATGGTGACTCAGTTAAGCTCCGGTTTGGGATGACTAGACATTGTAATGCTTGCATTTGAAGTACAGATGTGTATTTAGGTAGTTAACTAAGGATATAAAGCTGGATATTGACTACACCCATTTTAAAGTCATTATGGTTTTAATATCACAACATTGTTTCTCTCTGAGGGGAAGACGGTATTTTTTAGTAAATACTGATTAGATTGATCTTTTCCTGACAAAAAAGAAGAGAGGAGAACAGATTGTTCTTAACACAGCCAAAAGCATGTTTTGCTTATCAGAATCTTGACTTCCAAGGACCTAACTAATCATATTGGAATTTGAGGTTTAGGCGTGTTAGAAAATGTAAATTGAATTTTCAGTCTCTTCTTTGAAGTATAACTTATATGCTGGACCTATCCATAAACAATGTCAGTTCTCTAATGAGAAAACCTAGAAAGAGAATATTCTTTCTAGACCTCAGAAAGGACCTCAAGATACTAAAGGTGCTCAGCAAGTCTGAATGTCCTGTATTATCCCAGCACAATGCCAAAGTATGTGGAGAGAGGAAAAAGCTTTCTCAGGTCTTCCCAAATCACAGAAAGATTTGGGAAAATCTGATTTTCATGAAATAGCGATAGTTGTCATGCGAACTTGTTTTGGTTGCTGATGTATTGTATAAGAAGGAAAAAAACATGACACTGCTGTCTTTTTGTCTGTAAAAAACTGCCTTTTTGCTGAAACCAACCAAAGAACAATTCCTGCTCCCTAGCAGGAATAAAAGTAATTTCAAATACAGATCAAGTGCAGAGTATATGCCTCTTTACTCATATGATAGCTAAGGGCCTTACAAGTATCAAGTATTATGAAGTGCTATATAATTATTGTGGCAAACCTGAGCAGTGTTTGACTCTTACCTTTGAAGATGCTTGTTTTAATGCGCATTGTACTAAAATAGTCAAATGTGTCTCATGCTGCTGGGAAAGAAAAATTAAAAAAAAAAACAAAACAGAAAAGCAGGATAGCATGATCATTGTTAGTAACAGAAGCCCCAAATGTAGGCCAGTTATTTTATCTCAAATTTAAATACCACAAACATCATACACCACTGCAAAGATACATTTTCATAAAATACAGATCTGTACCATTTGGTAGGAGATATTAAGTGCTAGAAATCTTTGTGTTAAAGTTATAAAATGAAGAGTTGTTTTGAGATTTATAGAATTATCTATCCCAGTTTTGAAATTTAAATTCACAGTTGCTTGCACTTATTTTTTTTTTTTTTATTCTTTTTCCTTTTTGGCCTACAGAAAATGGAACTTAGTTTTTGTCAAACTCATATCCCCAACATAAATATAGTTGGGGATATTATATAAATATAGTAAAAAGTGTTATTTGGTAACAATTATATCTGCATAGGCTAAATTTAGAGAGCATTTTTTGGCAGAGTAAATTAGTGAACACTGAAATCTTTCACCTTTTAACCTATTCCTAATAAGACTGAAGTACCCAAAACCAAAAGGAACTGCCAACTTTGATTATTTTCAGTGTTTCACACGAAGCACAAGTCCATTTCATTGTGTTCACAGGAAGATAAACTTTGCACAACATAGCCTTGCTTCTTGAATGATAGCTAGTAAATTCACTATTCTGAGGTGATGTCCCAATTCTTACTGACTGAATTTCACAGAGCCTAGATTTCCAAGAAATGTGAAAATGTACCAATATTGGGCAATAGGTTGTTATTGGATATTATGCTGCTCATTAACTACACTGAATTCAAAGCACAGCTGCTTGTTAATGGTTAGTCATCTTTTCTGTTATTGTTTAAATAACTTTTGTCTGTACCATACAGATTATGGTCTGTATTATTTGTGCAATTGCAGTGTTGTTGGGGTTTCTGTTCTGTTGGTTTGTTTCCTTTAAGCATTCCTTTAATGCATTTGAATCTCAATCCTGGATACTATGTCCAAGCAGAGATAAATAGGATGGTGGAAGACAAACAGGAAAACAAACAAACAAAAGACAGGATATCACTTACTGATTTCAAGTTGGCCCATTATTACAGCCCTGTCTCCCACTCCTCCTGAGTTGGAAAACAGTTCTGCTGTTTGTGGTTGAGAACAAAATTGAAGCAAATCAGCTGTCAAGAGATCACTCAGCCTCCAAATTCAAACTCCTTTGTCTAATAGCAGGTAAAGATCAAATGTGGGGAGAAAAGGAGCTGAATCTATATTTTATGTTCTGTTCAGTATTTATGCTGATACTTGCAAAGCTTTAAGTGCAAAGGAATCCTGTAAGGCTCACTTTAGATGTATTAGCGTATTTGGACTTTGTACACCTGCTGACATGTAATGTTAATCTGTGTCATTTTACATTGTTGATTTTTTGTTTGCACTGATGACCTCAAATTGTAATCAGTCAAATATTGCATGAAGAATGATGACGTTATTGGCATATGGGACAGCTGATAAACAAGATCTTAGTGCTGCCTTTGTACACCAGTATTAGTCACTCTCTACTAAATGCCTATTATTTACCCATCACATTATGTTTTTGCCTAGCTGTAAGCTGGACATTTTGTCCAGAAGGATACCATGAGAAATAGTATCAAAAGCTTTGCTGAAATCCTACAGGATTACATCAGCTGGCTTCCTATGGTCAACTAACTTTAATTATCTTAGTCTCCTTTTATGATAAAGATACCCATCTAGTTATAGGTATGAAGACGGAGAAAAGTCTAGAGGGCAAGCTATATGAGAAGTGGCAAGGTCCCTTGGTTTGCACAGCTCAGAGCAGAGGGGCTGAGGGGAGCCCTCAAGGCAGATGCAGCCCCTCACAGGGAGCGGAGGGGCAGCGCTGAGCTCCGCTCCCTGTGACAGCGTTCCAAGGGAAGGGCATGGAGCTGCGTCAGGGGAGGGGTGGGTGGTAGGAACAAGTTCTGCACCAGAGGTGGTCGGGCCCTGGAACTGCCCAAGGCAGTGGTTGCAGCCCCAAGCTGCCAGAGTTCGAGGAGCTTTTGGATAACCCTCAGAGCATTTGAATTTTGGGCGCTTCTGTGTGGAGCCAGGAGTTGGACTTGATGATCTTGTGGGTCCCTTCCAACTCAGGATATTCTGTGATTCAATTATTCTAATTAGGTGGGGTATTTTAAAAGTCCTTTTTGTTGTCCTCCACATTACTGGCCAGCTTCAACTGAGCCCCGTCCAAACAAATTTGCTCCCCACAGTGGTGAGCAGCTCTCTGTAGTCTTCCCATGCTGTTGTCCTCCTGTGTCACCCCATCTTGCATCAGGCGGCCATGTATTTTATTTTTCTACCTAAGCTTGGAAGATCCCTGCTCAACCAAGCCAACCTTCTGCTCCACCTGCATGATCTCTAACATTTTGGAACTGCCTGTTCCTGTGCTCTTAGGAGGTGTTGC